CTAAGCAACGGTCGGACAAACCGCTGGTCGGGTTCTCGCCAAATTGGCTGGGGTCCTTGATGGGTTCCGGTGGCGGACACCTGGGTTGGTTGGTTAGGTTGGTTTGTACAGCCATGGTACGGCTCCTCCCTGTCCTGAGGCCAAAGAGGAGCCCCACGCCGGCCCCCGGCCGGCGCGAGTTTGGAAGCATGAACGCGTCCGCAGGCCTCCCCGGAAGGGGTCCTGTGGTCGCTGGCCTCCCAGGTCCCGAGATTGCTCAGATCGTTTGAAACAAGAAAGCTGAAGGGCCCAATGCTTATCTGCCCTCATATTGAGGTTCGGATAGAGTGCTAAATGATTTCACACACACCAATCTTCTGTCTTCGGATCACGACTCAATATTGGCTTTGAAAGTAAATACCGCACACCCCAATTCTAATTCTAGTCCTTGCACTAACCACGTAGGTCCTCCAGTAGAGAGGTTAGAATAAGGGTACCCTTTCTTCCGTCGTCTATTTTAGTAGGGTCCCGAACCCTCCCAACCATAAAAGGGGTCAAAAAACCGGCACCAATTGCTGAGAAACCTAGAGTAACAGTTTCCGCCCAAGGCCCCTTCACTCCAAGGCCCCCCCTTTCCACGGCCCGAAGCTCCGCCTTTTTCGCTCCAAACCGATGGCCGCCAGGCGCTGCATCCGCGCCGCAACCGCCGCGAAACTCGCCGCCGAGGAGAAAAGCGGCGGCGGCAGCGCCTCGCTGCAGCTCAGAGCGCTCACCTCGCAAACGGCGGCGGAGAGGTGAGCACCCGTGGACCGATGAACTCTTTGGCACGCCTGCAAGAAAACCTGAAAAACCTGCAATGAGACGAGCCCAAAAACAAACAAACATCTGGGGGTTCACTCGTTTTACCCCCTGTTATGGGGAAAAGGGCACCCCTTTCTCTTTGTGGTGGGTTGGCATCACTAAGTCTGGGGCTTTGTGCTAAAGCAATATGGGATCCGCAAAATGAAGCAAATTGGCCTTTGGCAATTAAGATTTGCCGATCTGAAGTCAGGAATTCCAATCAGGTGAAGTTGAATGATGTGGATGAGGCAAGATCGGTGGTTTACCGGTTTACCAGGCAGGATTGAGGCATGGCCCCGTGCCTGAGAGGGGGGGTCAAACGCCTCCCCTTGCACGAAAAATCGCTCCGAGGATGCTCCCTAGAAGCTCCTGGCCAGAAGTCGCCCTGCTATGGATGGACGAAATCCATTTCGCACCTCTCTAAAAACCATGCAAACCATTGTTTGTTGGCATGTACAGGGGAATCTTCCTTCCAGGGTTTCCTAGGTGGTGCAGGATTTCGTCCATCCACAGTATTATTGCACCTTTTTTGATTGAATGCAGCTCTCATCTTCTGGGGATCTTGATAGTGGAGCATTGACTCCCGCAGAAGTTCAACCAAAGCTGCCTTCCCACTTGGGACAAACAGCCACATGTTGCGGGCAATGGCCAAAGACATGCGTTAAGTGTAGCTTCAGGACATGATCTTGCGGATCAAACATTTAGCTAGCAGCCCAGCGTTGCATCTTGCCGCCTTTCTGATGGCGCCTTCTGCCGATGGTTTCCTCTGCTCTCAAGGCAGCTTAAGAAAGGGATCCCGAACAGGCATTCAACCCGCAGCTGGTTTCTTCTCAACGCGGCATACAAGAGCGAAATCATGGGGGAATTTCGGGGTTTGGGGTACTTGAACACACGGAGTCCTCCGGGAATAAGCTGCTCAAGTTGAGTTGTTGTTTGCCCCTTTCCCTCCAGAGACCTCCTAGGTCCTCCAGATTTGAGAGGTTAGAATAAGTTGGTACCGCTTTTTTCTGTTTGGTCTATTTTAGGGGAACACTCAACCCTCCCAACCACAAAAGGGGTCAAAAAACGAAAGCGCACCAGGCTGGACCTAGCCTCTCTCTCCCTGACGGGTTCCGACGGCGGCCTCCTCCTCAGCTTCAAGGAGAGCGTTCAACGCTCTGCGCCACTGTCCCCCTCGCCGGCAGGCCTCCTGCACAACCCCCCCGAGTTTCTGAGGCCCCGAGCTCGAAGCCGGCGACAAATCAAAGAGGGCACCCAACAAGAAATGCGGCTCATGTGTGCCGTGGGGATGTTCAACCCCTTGCACTGAGTAACTGGGTTATGGGCTTCAGTTGGGCGACCAATTCGTTGAATGGGTTGGATCACACATTTGGACTCCTTTGGAATGCAAAGAAACACAGGTTTATTCGCTGGCGGAAGCGATGGGGTTAAACGGGTCCCGGGTTTTGCGGGCAGTCCTAATTGCCTGTGGGAAGGTCTCACTCCTTGCCCCAACAATTCTCCAGCAGAGCCTCCGAAGCTTCTGGTCCAGAACCTTCCCGGAACTTGTGTGAAACCCTTCCAGAACTTTCCCCCAGATGCACCAGCGTGACAACTTGTCCTTGGGGCAAAGCTGCAAAACCAACGGCCAAACAAGTTACTTCGAGCCTGGACATAAGAAGTGTGGCTGCCACCCAACACTCCACCCCTGGCCCTCCACTCTCCTTTGATTTCTCAAGACCGCATTCCAGGCATATATTCAATTCCCCCCGTTTGGGTTTTGCCTCAGTTGCTTTAGGTCAACCAGCCGCTGGCAGCCTGAAAACCTCCCACTTGCTCGTTTTCTTGCTGGTAGTAAAACGGCCAGTCAATTCATGCTAGTTTGCTAGTGCCTATTAGGCTGTGTGACCTGGATATACACCAAATCCTTACCTGTTGCCAACGTTTTAACTGACGCAAAGAAACAAGTTGGATGTCAAATATACATTCAAATAGTTAATACCAAGTCTCATCTATACATATTTATACATAGCCTACACTGTATGACAGACGAATGAACCTTCAATGTGCAAAACGGTTGCCAACACCAGACAAGCCACAAGGCTCAAACGTCTGTTCGCCTTGGGCCAATGAGTTACACGTGTGAGCGCTCCTAATTTAGACATTTCGGATTGCCTTTGACAAGGAGGGCAACTACTCTGCACATTGCTATACTTTGACAAACCCGAAACATCGATTTCCCTGAGGGACCTTCATGGCTGTGGCTTTTACCTCCTTCTGGTTTTTACCCTCTAAAAGGGGAGAGCAAAAACTCTGTTGCGAAATCTGCTCCCCTGCTCCAAGTGACTGACTGTTAGTGGTTTAATGGGGAAAATTCCCATTAGTTGGCAAAAAGTGAAAGTCCTAGCATCCAAGCAAAATGCACCAAAGCATTGACAAACCGGAAACATCGATTTGTTGAGGAACTTTCATGGGTTTTCGCTGTTTCGACGAGTTGGTTTTGGCTGTTTCCCCCGGTCCAGGACGGCGTTGCAGGTGACCACCGTGGGCGAGACGGGAAGTTCCCGCATCTTGGCCTTCCATTTGGTTAAGACCCCTGAAAAATATATTTCCAGTAGTGAAAAATTCCTTTTCTACCAACAAGCGTTATTTTTTGTGTTTTTTTTTGTTTTCTAAAATGCTTTCTACCAACAAGGAAACATAAACGAAATATGTGTTCTACCAACAAGAGAAACACATAAACAAAGTATTCTTAACCAAGTGGAAGTGGCCCGGAGCAGCAGCGCGGTGTGCCACTGGTGGCCCTTGGCACAGGCGCTGACGGCCGAGTTGCAGGACACCGCGTCCTCGGCTGAATCATCCCCTTGCCCCTGTTCATGAATGCACCCCACCCTGTGAATACATATATGTATATATTTTTTTTCTGGCGTTTACCTTCTTCTGGTTTTTATCGTCTAAAAGGGGAGAGCAACAACTCCATAAACTCAAGCTCGCACGGGGCCTCTGTGGGCGCAGCTGGTTTATTGGGGGGGATCAGGCCCAACAACGGCAATAGCCAGTGCACGTGTCTGTTGAACATGGCTCGGTCGTGATAACTCGGTTGCTTTCTGCTCCCCTGCTAAAAGTGACTAACTTTTAGTGGTTTAATGGGGAAAATCCATTAGTTGGCAAAAAGCTAAAGTCCAAACATCCAAGCAAATGCAAAGTAAATGCACCTTGTGAATAAATATCGTGCTTCCCAGACCACCGGCTGCCCTATACTATTTTCTAGAGTGAGCCAATTCTAAACCCATACTTACACTAAGGGGTAGTCCAGAACCCAAGCAACCCCCGTGCCAGAATTGACAAAAGCCAGGGCGATTCGTTCCCTTTAACGTAACAACTTTGACCTTTCCAAGGGGGATGCTCATTTGCTGGCTCGATGTACTAACCCTATACCAATCGTTTTCTTTTTTTAAACCAAGGTCCCATTGTCCCCAATTACAAAACAATGTTGAGGCCTCTTCAGGGATTTAATCTGTGCAGACCAAAACCAAACAAACACAAATATTTGTACTGATTACGTTTGCTTCTGGGGAGAATAAATAGAGTTTGGCCTCCAGATTACAGGGGGAATCGATTATACTGATTGAGAGCCATAGCAAGAGGAAACATAAACACCTACTGTACTGGGTTGCCCTCAGAGATGGCTGGGAGCCACCAAGTATGACAGTTGCTGTTAGTGAATCTTAGGGCCTGAAGGACCGCCAAGGGTGATGACCTTATGGCTCCCGTTTCTATAACTCCGAATCTGTACCGGACAAGTACGCTTCGCCGAAGCTGCAAGACACGCAAGACCATATGTAAGGATGCCTTAAATCGCGCAAGTGGTTTGGACAAGCTGGACAGCTCCTGAGCTGCGGTGGATGCCAGCCACATCTTGCAAGTTTAAGTAAACTGCGATAATGCACCAAGCCGACAGGGGACACTTCTTTGAAAAGGCAACAGCATTGTGGTCGCAACATGGCTGTGTAAAGTCGCAAAACAAATGCCGAGTTGGGAAGACAAGTTGTGCATAGCTATCGCATTCGCTGGTTGGATGTGGTTCACTTGATTCGTGTTTGGAGTCACCGGGAACCCACTGCAGGCGCCTCTTTGCATCTGCGCCAACTAGGCCTTGAGACCAAAGGGACCGCAAAAGAGCACACAGTTGAGGGTTTACA